GCGTCAGCTGTCGTGCGTTTCGAAGTAATCCTTAGGTCTTTAGGTTAGGTAAAGGAAATTGTTCATCCAGTGATGAGGGAACTTCGATGCAGATGAAAGGCCAAACATAGTTGTTACTTCATGGTGACTTTTCCGACAACGGCACACATTTCACTTTTCTCTGTCTATTTTTTTGTTACACCAAGGGATCTGCGCTGGGAGTCCTGGATTGCAGAATGGCGTCGGCTACAATGTGGGGATGTACAGTATTTCTGTACTGGCTGTGGGAGGGTCCATTTTTAGGTTCATGGGATTGCCAGTATTTGTATGCGTGGTGAAACAGATTGGGCGACAAAATATGCAAAATATTGATTTTGCTGCGCGAGCAACGATGAATCTAGAATTTTCATTTCTAGGAGATCGCTGATTTACATGAGAGGCACAATTGCACGGAATGTAGTATCGCAGATTAAGGACGATCGTGAATTTTGTTTGCGTAGATAACTTATCAGCGATATTCGACGCTGTCCGAGGTGTCGCAGCAGTGATTATTCGGTAAACTGTGAATTGTGGATCAGACTGGAACTGTGCCATATCGAAACATTGCGACAGTGGTAAGATAGCCAGAAATATAACAACGGAGGTAGAAACATGACTGACTTGGCGTTTCCAGCTGGCAACAAAGTAAGCTGGTGACCAAACGGTAATCGCCCAGCGGCAGTCGTTTGAACTTCGTACAAGTTTATTGGTATGCCGTGCATAAAACGTTGGACTCGCTCGGAGCTACGTTGCTATCGGAGCAGTCAACTTTGCATTACAATGTTGCAGGCCCGTGCTGCATGACCTTAAAAGTGCTCCAAAGATGCTCTGTGGCCATTCAGCTCACACCCTCCGGACGTGTTGAGTTAACGCGTGTGTCTTGGTCGCGGTAGACTTGGCGTTGGAGGCACGATTTGAGTCTCATGAACTGCTGGAGGCAAACATCAATCACTGTGGATACGACAACGACTATGGACGTACATAGGCGGGGTAGTACGGGCAAAGAAGCCCCGGGTGCATGAGTCCCCTTACCAAATTTATGGTATGTTACCAAATTATAGGTACGTGACTTAATATTGGCACTTACCGGTTATAGGCAGCCACGTAAAAATCAGGTCGAGAAAATGCAATGCTAATTTACGGCACGCACCAAATTGGGCACGCCTGCGGACCGTTGATTTCGTTTTTAGTAACCACTTTTAAGTCGCACCCCTGCTTGCTTGGAACGCGTAGAAGTACGCTGTACATTTGGAGCCATCGCAAAAATCGGGATGGCATGACTGCGTTGGACTGTGCCACAGCTGTATTTGTGTGCCAGTGCCCTTACGGCAACTGATTAGTTACACGTGGCTGTTCAAAAATATGAAAACACCAGCAAACTTTCCGTGCTTCATAATGATAAGTGAATAGGAAATAGTATGGGCAATGCTTTGTTGATACCGTGATAAGCTTCGCTATAAAACAGGGCTGTTTGACAGTGCATCACACGACAGCCAATGTAAGCGCGGTTCGTGAAAGCAAAGGATGGGGACGCATGTGGAGCTGCCCCTATTGTCTACTCTATCCTTGCCCTCCCCCTCCCCCTCCCCGGAAAAATGTCACGTCCTAGATTGACAAAATTTTACAATAAGCATAATGGCGTTACTGGGAAAGAACTGAGGGGTAAACTGCGTTTGCCTCCAAAAACTTCTCTCAGAGGAGTCGTCGTCAGTGGAAGTACATTGACCCAAGGCCAGTAGATCCCAAGGCAATGATTCGCCACATTTTTACGCGGTCTGTGTTACGGTTTCAACGACCGTGTCAACGATCTGGTCGGGTATGAGCTGCCGGGAAGTCAAGGTTTTCATTCGTGCGGGGCGGGGGGAGGGGTCGCGGTTTGCTGGAGAGATTTGGCGGTGATTGGTGGGATACCCCCCCCCCCCCTCAGTTAGCACGCTAAATAAGTCGCCCTTAATATGCCACACCTGAGTGCAGCCGTTCGAAAATGCAGCTGCAAATACGACAGTGCAGAAGGGCTATTTTGCAAAAAGCGTGTGTGTTGTACCGACACATAACACCTAATCAAACCACAAATCAGTGAAATCCTACCTATCGATACCTGAGGTAATGCGGACAATACTATCGACACTGAACATTGAAGAGCAAAAAAGTGTCACAAATGCGATGTGCCGAAATATCTGACATATCACAGGATTGGAGCTTCTGATATCAATGTCCGATATTCCTGCCTTTATCATGTATTTGTGATAAAAGAAAGAGGCAGTGTCGATAAGAACTGCGACGGGAAAGGATGAAGCCGATCATTAAGCAAAACTCGAAATCCCTCCGTCCAAAGTATTAATGGTTGCGTATTTTTGAGCGATTATGCCGCATTTGAGACCAAATTCATGCACCCAAGGCTCCATGCACTTGTTGTGCGAGGTTTTCTGAGGGTGCATTACCTAAGGGTGCGGTTCAGGTTTATGACGGATGAAGTACTCAATGAGACACTTCATATTGGCAACAAAACCATGAGCTCATGGTTTTTCAGCTTTGGAACTCAGAGCTTTTTATGCTGATGATTTTCGACCTTCATAGTTTTCGACCTTTAACCAATGCCAGGAGGTAATGGCTTAACGTCTGTATCAAGCAAACATAGGCTTATTGTCAGGACTGGATGTTGTGAATCTATATTCGTGATCGCATAAGATACATCATAACTATGCCGTAACGTAAATGATGTATGCAAAGATCCATTAGAAGTACGTTAAAATCCCAGAAAGTTCCAAATAATGCTCAGAACTTAAGATAAGGTTCTTTGTTCTTACGCAGGCTGATTGTGCTTGGAAGGACTCCTGTATGGACGCAATCAGGTTCATGCCCGTGAATGCTCATTGAGATGCTTAGGGCGCAATTAAACTACTATCAGGACTGATCTTATGCTGAGTTCATATTATCTTACAGAAATATATGTTTTCTTCTCCAACAGCACAACATCACGCAGAATCATGCATATCTCAAACAACAACTCGGTATCTTTGCTTAGATGGCACGTAAGTGCTGTAAAAATGGAAACATGACGATGGGGGCAGGAAAAATGAATGATAAGTGCTGGTGCCTTACTTCAGGAACTTACGTTTATGCTGGTGCAAAGTTCAGGAGAGGTTCTAGTTATTTCAAAGCTGGAGGCGCAAAGCTTACGTCGCTCGTTATCATGCTCTACAACAGCTTGCCATGTTCGTTCTCTAATACTTTGCAATAACTGTTGCTACAGCTGTTGTAGTTTTGTTTAGAGCATAGCACAATAATATAGGCTATTGTTCGCCTCCAGTATCCCCGGGTTTTCGGCTCAGTCTCAAAACTAGGGTTTCAGGATTATGCTAGGGATGTAGTTCTATAACGACCAGCCAATAAACAAGAAACAACTTATTCTGATGTTCGCAGCAGGAGGCCAGGTGTTAACTCAGCTTGTCCAAGAATGTTTGATGCCGGTTACATTATCAGCACATACATTGCTACATTTCTGGAAATTGCAAAAACTCGGCGTGCAATGGGCTTCAGGCTTTCATTTCAACCTTCAACACTAATTTTCAAAAAGCTGTCGGCTGGCCTCTCCGGCTGCACCAGCGCAAGGTGCGCCGACATAAATCGTGGGCAATAAATTGATAACCTGCTAATTTGTGGTTAGAACAGGTCTGAGCAGTGCCAACACCAGCAATCCCCCACCAATGCACTGGTAACTTGCAGTTTGCAATTGCACAACTACCGCACAAAATACCAGTCAGAGAAAACCCAACGGGTGCAAGTGGGCCGCAATATCAGCCCCGTTAAATTCAAAGGAGCTGATGGGGCCGTGAACCCCAAACGACGGGAAGCAGAAACGTTCTTGGTGTCCTAAACGTCTGCCCCGTATCACCAAACAGTCGCCAAAACCCACAGAAAAATAGTTTCAATGTTTCGATAAATTAGGTCTTCTCGCTGCCACATAAGATCAATGGTAAGTTATGCATCCAGTTGTAGAGTGTATACGTCGGAGCGGCACGCATTTTGTGTTTCTTCCCACCCAAAGATTCGGTGCGAGATCAAAGGGGGGGGGGGGCATTGTATTGACCAAGTGGTTGGCGCATTCTGTTCCAACATTGATGGCCCGGGTTAGATCCCAGCTGCGCCATGACCCCTGAGCGCTAGCATCGTCTTTGTAGATGCTGGCGCTCCATTAAATGGTGGGCACTGACATGTGTGAGGGTCCTTAAAACCCAAATTGATGATGGATCCTTGCCTTTCATACTGGTGCATTCGTGCATGAATAGTTTGGCCCAGGCATGTGCTTTGTATTTAAAGCAATAGCCTAGGAACGAGAGTGGTTTGTATCTATAGCGCGTTAAGTCAGAGTGAAACCAAGTGAAATTATAACCGGAAGGTGTTGCTGGTTATCTGATGTTCTTTCTGGCTTCAGGCATAGTTTGGGGTCGGTCGGCCAATCAGTTGCTCATCAAACAACAGTTCATTTCGTACAAATAAATACAGTGTATTTTATCTTCCAAGCACGGTAGAGCGCCGTGTTTGGAAGACAGTGCAATAACTTAGAAAAGAGCTCAATTCCCACAAGATATCACGAAAGGCTGGACTCGGTAGTCTCTTCGCTATGGCATAGCCTGCGCTTCGTTTCCCTCATGCCACGCGCGGCGATGTCGCCACCGAGGGCGGCGCGGCCGGTCTACGACCGACCACAGACCGTCAGTCGCGCCATGGCCGCGACCTGGCCAGGCGGCGATGGGCCTCGGACAAAGCCTACTCGCAGATGTACGGCTTCTTGTGGTGGCAGGAGACGTCGTGCCACGTGATTTGGTCGCCGGGGTAGAACCGGTTGAGGATGGCCAGGCAGTTTTCGTCGCCCTCGCGGTTGTCGGGCTGCGGCACGCCGCGGCCGCCGGTGCGGCTCCAGTTCAGCGGCTGCACCTGCTGGCCGCTGGCCCACTGGAAGCTGTTCTGGCCCGTCCGCTGGCCGCTGGTCCAGATGTACGGGATGTCTGCGGCGGAGAGAGACCCGGCGTCAGGCCAGTTTGGCCGCTGGCGCGCAGGGTCACACAGAACACACGGAAGCTTTAGGTGATCCCAGTTCATGATAACCACAGCTTTAACAGGACAAGGCCCCTGAAAGCCTTGCCTCAAAACGTCTCTGAGCGGATAGCTCTGAGCATGCTATACGTCTCTGCACGTCTGAAGCCCCGCGTCTCCCGAGCACTCACTGTCGCTGGCGATCTCGCCGACGATCTGCTGATTCTTGCCGGCCGTCTCCAGCGAGACGAGACGCTGGTTGCGACGCTGGCAGGCGGCGTTGGCTTGACCCCAGGAGAACTTGGCGTTGCGGCCGACAGCCGGGTCACGCCACGAGTAGTACAGACCGCCGCCTGCGCACACGCACGAGTCAGCGGCTGCCGCTCAGGTCAGCGCCGGTCACATCAATAGTACAGACCGCCGCCTGCACACACGCACGAGTCAGCGCCGGCCACATCAGGCCACCAAAGGCGAGTTCAGGTCACCGGACAAAAGGTCAGGTCACTGGGGGCAGGTGAAGTTTTGGGGTATTCCATCGAATCACTAGAGGTCACATCGGATTACTGGGAGCCTGGCCCGCTCACAGCGGATGAGACCAGGACACCAGAGTTTACAGGGGTACTAGCTGCCAGATAGGATTACCGGCGATTAAATCGGATCAATGGATGTCAGATCCGGTCTGATCAAGTGACTGCGGGAAATATCCGGTTACCGAGAGTAGGTTCAGATCACCGAACTCACAACAGATCATCGGTGGTTCTCGTCTGGTTTCTCGCGTCGTATGCTGTTTTGCTCCAAACCGGCTTTCCTTCCAACCAGTGTTTACATTCAGCTAAGGAGGATTGTACGTCACCACAGTAAAGTAAAACACGACCAAATCACGTATGTTGCGCCATGGCACACAGTAACTTGCTTACAAAGAGCCATGTAAGAAACCAAGATTGAGTAAAGTTTGCAAACATTTTCATGCGGCGTGGTTGTTTTTACGCAGTTTATAAGTACGAGGGATTGTTTGAAGAAAACCAACGTCAGAAGTAGGATTTTTGAATAGTCGACTCATATCGAGTCCCCGAACATACCATCGGACGAGATCGGGTCACGGGCATGATTGTATCGCTGGATGTCACAGCTGGTCTTCACGGATCAGACCAGAGCTCCCTGCACCAGACTGGGCCACCAGAGGTAAGGTTGACCAACGACGGTCTCCATCCACCAAGATCAGCGTCTTCCAAAATAAATCCACACCCAGATTTAGAGCTCAAAGCCGACTTGGTTATGGCTATGCACTGGGCCGTTCGTACATTTCGTTGCGCATTGAGGGGATGGTGATTTTTTGTCGGGAGTAATAGAAGTGTAACGCCGGGTAGGTGGCGGCTTGCGCGCCGTTATGCCCAGGTGTGGCTGCTAATAACGGAAAAAATCATTTTATGAATGTCTAAAACCTTTATGACGGATAGACAGTTTTTATAGTAACAAGCAATGCGCCGGTGACCTGTTACGCATCTTCAGTTCGTTCAGCGTCCAAACGGACACCATTTTGGGGACATTATGCCCAACACAGGGTAATAGGGAAACGGATTTTCACCAGTGACCTATGCGTGACGAACGTGAGGGGATTGAAAATTGCCAAAAATGCGTAACGTGATTTATGGGTGGCTTCCACAAAGATCAAAACGCTGATGTAGATCTAATTAGTGTTTAGTGTAGAGTGAAATGATCTTGCGCAAGCTGATAGTGAATACATACGTGCTGAGATGGCCTTAGATATATGAATTAGTCGTAGCCCGTATTATGTTATTGGTTTGCGATGCCAAGAAAGGGGATTTCGTGCTCAAAACGTCCAATATTTTGCACAAAACTTTAAGAGGCAGTCTGTTGCGGCCACCGAACGGCACGCATGGGATCCAAAGGATGTTGTCCGCTGAGGCGAGCGGGACTTGGCCAAAGCTGACAGCAGCGGAGGGCGCTGCAGCTGCTGTCACTTACTCTGCTGCGGCGGGCCCTGATTCTCCACGACATTCTGCTGGGGCCGGAAATTCTGCTGGGCCCGGAAGTTCTGCTGAGGCCGGAAGTTCTGCTGGGGCCGGAAGAAGTTCCGCGGGCGCTGGGGACGCCTGAACCGGAACTGAGGGGCAGCCAGGCCCAGCAGGGCAGCGTAGAGCAGCAGAGAGAGGGTCCTCATCTGTCGACACGCCCGGCCGAGCCACAGCGCGGTCAGGGGAGTGGCCGCCACCAGACCAGACTGCACCACACTGACCATGCCAGACTGCACCAGGTCAGTTTCCCGGCCCCAGTCAGCGCCAGATAGTTCAGCAGCACAGTACTGCCTCAACGGCTGTTGTCGATCACTGATCGGCTCTCAGTCGGACAAGTTCCAGTGCTTTCATGAACACCACGTATTCTGTTCAGCTTAATCGCAAAGCGGTGTCTGGTATGCACAGTATAAAAAGCATATGAAACCTCCGGCCGCCAGCCACCGCTATGGCCTACAATTCACCGATGGCATAGCGAGAGAGTGGTTCCCCAGGTCGCTGCACCTGTTCGCTGCCCCTGCAGCCAGTTGAGTCTCGCTGCTCCCAGGCCGCGGCGCGCCGCTGCTTACCTTGGTGAGAAGGCGATCGGTAATGGATGCCTGGCAGCGGCGGGCGGCCGTTTATATATGGACGGGGCGGTGGCTGGGAGCAGCGAGACTCATTGCATTGAGCAGAGAGCCGTTCCTACCAGGGTGAGAGGCAGGCGACGCCATATAGCCTCAGCAGCTGAGTGCGTCGTAAAGCCCCAATGACACACACATATAACAGGCTGTTGGTTGCTTATGGTCAAAACAGCATGGCCGCTGATATATTCGCATGAGCGATAATGCGGCACTTATGATACAATCCACGGAAGGTGATTGGCCGTTTGACGTCAGCGTGAGTACGTTCGGGTTGTGCGGCACTCGTCGCCAACGGGGCATTTTTCCTTATTTCTAGACCATAGGTCAATGTTACAAAAAAGAAAACGCCACTGTCTGCAAAAAAGCACAGCAACGAAAAAAGAACGGCATTCTCCCGAGTGCTCTACAAAAGAAGACGCGACGGCAAGTCCGTCGTTTTTCTTCCGCTGGCGTTTGTTTTCTTCTTCTACGGACGTATTTATTATAGACCGCCCGGTTGGCGCATTGTGTACCGGAACAAAGAACCCTGCACGGGTTTATGGGCTAGCAAGGCATTACAAAACTAGGGAAATATTACAGTTTTCATTGATATATATGTTACTAAGTATTTCACACATATTTTAGGATAACTATAGATATTGAACAAAGAAATTGTGTCTTATAAGTACAAGCTCCTGAGTTGTATTACCATGAGCAGACATTGGGACTTTGTTTTGAAGGGAGCTCACTGTGAAATGCGTTGTTATAATCAAAAATCTGTGCGGAAATTGGGAGAAAACCTGCAAGTTGATAATCCTGCGGGTTGTGCAAATGTAAGATCCCACTTCTTTGACAGAGTTTGAATCAGGCGCTTGAAATAGGTGTGACCACTGGTGGTGCGTGCCAGTGACTTATATTGATCTTGATGTGATGAGAAGGGCGCGTGCGAGGTTTGTACGTCTGAGAGAACGTTGTTTTGTTGTTTTTACAATCTAATGACTCTCAATAAAATGTGATATATTAGCACCTGCCTCTATATTTAGGTTTGCGTTTGAACATGACAGGGCAGTGGTGTCGGTAAAATGAAGGGATCACTAGCACCCATGCTGCAGTTGTGTTCAAAGTCAATTTGCTAGTTCATTATGATCTTGCCAACATTATGAGCCTCTTGAGGCACTACAGCACGTAATTAATCCATTGCATGTCATTATATTAGCAATTCATTTCGGCAGTAGGGTTGGGTCCGTACAGCTCATTAACGCACGGCCCACATGATACTGCTCTGCAAAACTGTTTTTCTGTTAAGAGTTCTGAAAATATACCGCTGCATTATTATAGATGCACATGCAATCGTTTGAAGAAAATTTGTACGCAGGCTAGCATTGCTTGTGAGTCATCAATGTCCTAGTCACTGCAACTTGTGTGAGATTCTCTGTGCTAGGGATGGTGAAAAAAGTATTGCTGTTGGTTTCTGGATAGCACTTAGGAATATTTTTATCACATCATGAGCCTTCCGCGCACTGGCAGCTTCATCACTTCCTTGCATTTCGCCATCTAACTATGACTACATGCATTTGTCATGTCTCCAGCCTTGTGCAAGGTCAGCGGGTTTGCAGTCACACAGCAAAATTTTCTTGTTAAACATGCATCATTACTTGTGTGAACAATATTTTTGAGCAAAGCAGCCTGATGGCTGCAGCACGTTGCATGGATGTGGGAGCAAAGGACGTGCCTGTATCTTTGCCACCTATGTTTTGTGGATTCCCAAATCAGGCTGAGCAAGTGATGTCACTTATTGGTTGTGTGCTTTGCTGAAAGTGATTATTGTATTGTATCATGTGTGTTTGGTCAGTCATATGTCAGGTGCGGAGTCAATACAATAATGCATGCTTGACACACCTTTTTACGATGGGATTTATTTCGAAAGCAGCAGGGATCGCAGTACAAAAAACGTATAACTTTGCATTATGCCATGCCACAGTGCAGCACTGCGATAGTGACACGATGACACCGTTGCCCAGTGCCATTACACGATGTACCACATTGGTTGGCTGCTCAATGTCAAGCCTATCAGATAGCAACCTATAAGCTATGAATGACTGGTAACGACTGATTTAATAACAACAAAGGACTATTAGCAGTGAGGAAGCTGTTCCAACACACTGGTAATATCAGGGTTAAGTGAAATTGCATCAAAAATCCTAAGCAAGAAAATATTTGTGGTAGCTCAACCTTACCATCTTTACGATAGAAATGGCAATGCTTTGGCAATAAATTAATAGCAATGTTACAGATTTATATATTTGTGCATCCAAATGTCCTAGTCACAAATGGTAAAGCAAGTAACTACTGTGCACATCACATGATATCTGTCAGGACTACAGCACTGCAGGCAAGGATAAGTCAGCAAGATAGTATTGACGTTTTCAACTGTCCTTGGGAGGTTTCGGCGCGAGATTCACGACGCCACATGACAGTCTTCATATCATATCGTGCATTGATATTAATAATCTGCCCTAAAAGCTGATGATCGCTACGTTGCTTCTGCCAAACAGCCCACCAAAGTTTCAGTCATGACCAGCATCAAGACAAAAATGCACAAACAAGCCATTCACTAATCCGTCACCCAACGCAGCGCCCGCGACGAGAATGGCTGGTTGACGTCAGCTGTCGTGCGTTTCGAAGTATTCTTTAGGTCTCTAGGTTAGGTAAAGGAAATTGTTCATCCAGTGATGGGGAACTTCGATGCAGATGAAAGGCTAAACATGGTTTTTACTTCACGGTGACTTTGACGACAGCGGCACACATTTCACCTTTCTCTGTCTATTTTTTGTTACACCAAGGGATCTGCGCTGGGAGTCCTGGATTGCAGAATGGCGTCGGCTACAATGTGGGGATGTACAGTATTTCTGTACTGGCTGTGGGAGGGTCCATTTTTAGGTTCATGGGATTGCCAGTATTTGTATGCGTGGTGAAACAGATTGGGCGACAAAATATGCAAAATATTGATTTTGCTGCGCGAGCAACGATGAATCTAGAATTTTCATTTCTAGGAGATCGCTGATTTACATGAGAGGCACAATTGCACGGAATGTAGTATCGCAGATTAACGATGATCGTGGATTTGGTTTGCGTAGATAACTTATCAGCGATATTCGACGCTGACCGAGGTGTCGCAGCAGTGATTATTCGGTAAACTGTGAATTGTGGATCAGACTGGAACTGTGCCATATCGAAACATTGCGACAGTGGTAAGATAGCCAGAAATATAACAACGGAGGTAGAAACATGACTTGGCGTTTCCGGCTGGCAACAAAGTAAGGTGGTGACCAAACGGTAATCGCCCAGCGGCGGTCGTTTGAACTTCGTACAAGTTTATTGGTATGCCGTGCATAAAACGTTGGACTCGTTCGGAGCTACGTTGGTATCGGATCAGTCAACTTTGCATTACAATGTTGCAGGCCCGTGCTGCATGACCTTAAAAGTGCTCCAAAGATGCTCTGTGGCCATTCAGCTCACCCTCCGGACGTGTTGAGTTAACGCGTGTGTCTTGGCGCGGGTATAGACTTGGCGTTGGAGCCGATTTGAGTCTCATGAACTGCTGGAGGCAAACGTCAATCATGTGGATACGACAGCGACTATGGGCGTACATAGGCGGGGTAGTACGGGCAAAGAAGAGCCCCGGGCGCATGAGTCCCCTTACCAAATTATGGTATGTTACCAATTTATAGGTACGTGACTTAATATTGGCACTTACCGGTTATAGGCAGCCACGTAAAAATCAGGTCGAGAAAATGCAACGCTAATTGACGGCACGCACCCAAATTGGGCACGCCTGCGGACCGTGAGTTCTTTTTAGTAACCACTTTTAAGTCGCGCCCTGCTTGCTTGAACGCGTAGATGTACGCTGTCCATTGGAGCCATCGCAAAAATCGGGATGGCATGACTGCGTTGGACTGTGCCACAGCTGTATTGGTGTGTCAGTGCCCTTACGGCAACTGATTAGTTACACGTGGCTGTTCAAAAAAATGAAAACACCAG